CTCCTCCCAGCTGGTAAACTGCTGCTTCTATGCTCAAAGGAATCAGGGGTTCTCCAGTAGCACCCTAGTGCCTCGAACAGCAATCTTTATGAATAAATCTGGTCCAGACACAGGGGAAATCAGCTCTGAGATAGTGTCGGCCCTTGTTTGCTGCTGCAGCATTTAGAGGTATGAAGTATGGAATCGGAAGCAAAGAAAAAATATGTATCCTTTCATTTCAGAGAAGTCAGGAAGACAACCAAAAAGAGTCTGGCAAACTCAGCAAAATTAGCCATGTCTTGATGCAACCTAGTTAGATTCGTGGAGATATCCTTTTCAGATCCACGGAACAGTCAAGAAAAGTTTCTGTGGCCTAGAGTAAAATGTGCTAACAACTAAGACATAGTTAGACAACGGGCTCTGGGGCTCCTCATTACACCTACGTAACCTTGGGCAAGTCTCGAGGCTCCATGTCTAGGGGGCTTTCGTCCCCGTTGTCAAGAAGTTTAAACGTGACCAAAACTTAATCAGCAAGATGAATATTCACAGAAAGGCCAATGGGTGGAGAATAGAAGAGAGACAGGTGAACAGCCCTGTATTTTCCAAAATTCCAAGATCTTTCCCATAAAAACAACCTCCATAAGATGTTTTTCCTATGATCAATCAACAACTGCAGTGCACTTTAAAAGCAAACTACTAAATAAAATGTGTGTGGGATACACAAATGAATTGAAGATATCTGATATGACTTTTTTAAAATATTATTTACTTAATGTATGTGAGCACACTATAACTGTCTTCAGACACACCAGAAGAGAGCATCCGATCCCATTCCAGAAGGTTGTGAGCCACCATGTGGTTACTGGGAATTGAACTCAGGACCTCTGGAAGAGCAGTCAATGCTCTTAACCGCTGAACCATCTCTCCAGCCTCCTGATATGACTTCTTTTTAGTGTTTGTAGCACATTTCATTTGGATTCCACTATCAAAAAAAGGGACATGTGGCTTTCCAAACCTTGAATAAAAATCTAGATTGTATATCAAGTTTAAGATTCTAATATCCATTTTTCTCCTCGTCTCCCTAGGTGTCCCCATCTTCCATTCTTTATTTGCTATCTCAGGCAAAGGACAGCAGCACAGTGGTGCTTGCTGCAAGTACTTCTGGGTTGTGGGTCTGTGACCAAAACAGAAAAAAAGACTGTCCCTGGTCGCACATCCAGAGTTGGGATGGAGCCATTTGAAGTTATGAGAGTAACATATGACCATGAATGACATTTGCTCCGATGAAGGAAATACACAGTGTTGTTGGAAAGGAAAGAGACAGTGAATGGTTTGTGATGTTAGGGAAGTATTATGTGGTGTCATCTTCCTCTAGGTTTGCCCTACCTCAGGTCCCAAGACGTGGATTTGAATGTAGGTGATTTCTGTAAAAGACTTGTATCCCTAGAGACTAAACAGGAATAAAGAGTGGGAAACAAAGATAATAAAGGATGAGTTGCCAAGGCGACCTTTCAGAAAGCAGGGACTCGATCCTATTGAAGATTCTTAGCCGAAAAGTCTGAGGTACACCATTTCTTCCATCCTCCCTCTCCCCTCGACTCCCCCTACTGAAAAACTTGGATAATGTCAAAGAAAGCCATCGTAGAGTTTGAGTTGAATGAGGTAAAGCCAAAGGTTGACTTCTGCCCAAGCTCCTAAGAACAAGATTCAGGAAATAAGAGAATGAGGTGGAAGAAAGTTCCAGCAGCGGGAAGAACAGACCAAAGGACTCGGAGACAGAGGCTTATTTTCTTCTAAATGACTATTTAAATTAGGAAGTGTTGCCTGTGTCCTGGACTGCTCGCTGCCTGATCCTACTTGCCCCTTGCGGGTTGGAGGTACGCAGAATCAACAACACAGACTGCAGGAGTGCAGTAGCAAGCTCTCTGCAACGCTGCTGCAAGTTTCTTTAATACCCTCCACCCGCACCCCATTGGTCCCAAGAAAGCGTCTCTTCTAAACAGCAGTTCCTGATTGGCTGGCATTGCCTGCACCAGCAATCCTTAGTCTCTTAGGCAGTCCTCAATTAGGTCCTCCTGCAGGAGATGCTTTGGCGGTTATGTGCCCCACCCCCACCGCCAGCTTTTATATAGGGGCGCCCCTCACCCCCGCCGTTCCTGCTACAAGGAAGAACTGAGAGACTATCATGAATTCGCACTGACAGATAATGAATTAGGAGGTTCCTTTAACACATTTAAAGGACTTGGAACAGTATCTTAAACACGGCATAATTTTGTGTAGGATTTTGACCAGGACGTTAGGATTTTCAAGTCACTTGTAGACAGAGAAGTTTTTATTTCTTCTTTTCCAATATATAATCTTTTTATTTTCTTTTCTTGTCCCATTACATTAGCTAAGGTTTCTAGTATGATATTGAAAATCAGTTGTTGCCGGGCGGTGGTGGCGCACTCCTTTAATCCCAGCACTTGGGAGGCTGAGGCAGGCAGATTTCTGAGTTCGAGGCCAGCCTGGTCTACAGAGTGAGTTCCAGGACAGCCAGGGCTACACAGAGAAACCCTGTCTCGAAAAACAAGGAAGGAAGGAAGGAAGGAAGGAAGGAAGGAAGGAAGGAAGGAAGGGAAAGAAAGAAAATCAGTATGAGTATTTTTCTCAAATGTATGTAAATGCACCAATGTTCATGCTCGATGCTCTCGGATGGCAGAGGGCATCAGATCTCCTAGAAATACAGTTCCAGATGGTTGTGAACAACCATGTGATTCGGGAAACCAAACCCAGGTTCTGTGCACGTACAGTACGAGTTTTTGACCACTGAGCCATCTCTCCTTCCCTGGGATGATTACTTTAGATATTTAAAAGATCTTTTCGGTGGGTATGAACAGAAGAGGAGGGTAAGAGTTGAAAAACAGCAGCAGGAGTGGAGAAGAAATCAACTTGAGAAGTAGATCAGATGGGACCCTTCTGAGTAGATCTGTGTGGGGCAGGGGAGACAGAAGCAGCCATGTTTCCATGGTTCGCCTGGCATTTGAGTGGCTGGATGCTGCCTGTGGTCGACTGAGCTCAATACGGGAGTCCTGGTGTTTGCTGGAGTTCTTGAAAGTATAGTAGAAGCTGGTGTGGTGGCCCACATCCAGCATCTTCTGTTTTCTTTAACCAACACACTTTTGTGTCTGGTATTCCAAAGGTGGCAAAGACCTGCCCTGAACAAACCCTACTGTGTGGAATCTCTTCTTTGACTTGGCCACAGGACACTTGTCACTGGTCATCCTCTCTAGTCACTCTTTCTCTTGGGACAGAGCTGGGGCCTCCTCATCTCTCAGCTTTCCAAAGGTCAGAGGTCTTCTTGGCTCAGTTCTTAACCACTACTGTGACCACATTGGTTCCCTCCACGATCTCCGACTTAACAAAGGGTTTCCCAAAGAACCCCATGATCCGCCTGAAACCCCAACTTTTCATCTTCTGAACCAAAACTCTGAACCCATTCTAGACTTAAACTTTTCTACCACAGACCAATCTGATGAGTCAGGAAATCTCCTTTGCTTTGCCTGAAGACACATCCACACTCTAACTACCCTTCCCACAATCTTCTATGTCACAACTCAGATGCTAACAACCATCATTTTCCTTACGACAGTGGACTCTTACTTCATCCGATGCAACCTCCTCTCAGCAGAGAGGCTGAATGAAGCCAATTCCTTAACATTTACATCACGTCATTTCACTTCGAGGCTCAACGCATCCATTTTCCACACCTCCATGGAAAGTTCGAAGTTGCTTCTTTCATGGTCTTCACCAGCAAAGTAGAAGAAAGCAACAGAGACCCATTATTAGATACTGATTTCTTGATTTAGTTCATGATTTACTCAAAGCACCGCTTGTACCGCCTATTTGCCAAACATGTCTTCGCTGGCTACTTGGAACATAATGACCTGGAGAAATAGTAGAAACATTGGATTGTGTTACCCTTAACAACCTGCTGACTGCTACTTAGGCGTCTGTAAAATTTCGCTTGCTTGCCCACCGCACCTTGTGGTTTTAGATTATAAAACGCAAACACAAACTGGGCTCCAACCCAGGCCTTTCAGGAGCTACCCTGGCTTGAGTCCATCCGTGACATCTCACTGAAGTCCGAGTGAGTGTTCCAGAGTCCTGCAACAACAGCAGCCTTCTCTCCTCCGGGATCCAAACCTGCGTTAGATCTCCAAACACAGGCAAGCAAGCAGGCTCTTTACTTTTCTGTTTTGAGCATTCTCTTCGTAACATCAGGTCTTCCTCTATCTTCTCAAAGATGAAACCAAAAACATCTTGTCCTGCATTATTTCTCATCAAAGAGCCCATCTCTTTGGGACATGGTCCTTACAGTCTTCTTGGTCATGCTCCTCTGTCTGACCTTTCATGAACGTTATCTCCAGCTTGCAGACCGTGTAGACACTTGGCAGTCATGTTTTGAAGACGTAGTTCAAGGGCGAAGAGTCTATTACAACAGCGAACAAGGATTCCAGCGCGATAACAACGCTAGGCTAAACGCAAAGTGGAAGAGGACACAAAGAAAGGGATCTGGCAACGCGAAGCTGAGGGGAGCACCTTAGGCGAGCAAACGCAGACGCCCAACTAGCAGACGTGGTGAGGGGGGCGCAGTACCGATAGCAGGCGTCTGCGGGACCTTGTCTTGCCTCAAGCTTCCAGGTCTTCCTTCTCTCCTCAGCAATCTTTCTCCAGCTTGCACCCCAAGTTCTGCAAGAGTGCAGACCTGGTACTGTCCCCAGCCGTGTCTTGGCCCACGTCCATCACAGAATCAGACCACAAACCATAAGAGCAGAGCTTTCGGGTCCACCTGCCTTCCGCGCAGGCTCCACAGCCAGGCTCCTAGAGGCAGAGTTTAAACCACGCCCGGGCCTCATACGAACCAATCCACCCCCGGATATGGATGATTGACATCCGGCGGCGGGGAATTCGGGTCCGGATTAGGCACTCCTAATATTGTGGGCGGGCCTACACGAGAGGAATCCGGAAGCGCCGCGCAACTGGCCGCGGCCGCGGCCGGAGATCCCGGCTGGGGTCCAGTATGTCTTCACTTCGGAAGCAGGGTAGGCAGGAAGCGCCGAACGCGAACGGAAACTGGATCTGAGATATCCAGGGGTGGCTGATGTGGTAGGCTGATGGCCCTGAGCACTGGGGGATCGTGGGACTACAGGGACCTTGGGTGTCTAGGGCATGATGGGACGTGATGGGCCCTGAGGTACCCGTCTCGTGGTGGCTACCCCTTCCTGCTGCCTGGGCCGGGCGCTAGCGCTGCCTTTAAGGGCCTTCGTTGTCCCTGGACCACACTAGTGGCGCAGAGGCCTCCGGAGCGTCAGTGTTCTCACCCGACTTCTTTGCCCAGTAATAGCCTGGGGCGGAGCTGGCGCTTGGGAGTGGGCATTGGAGTGGTGGCGAAGAGCACAAGACCTAGTGTCTGGAGGGCTGCCTTTACCCAGGCTAGCCCCCATCTCTGAGTTAATGCCCTGAGGTCCTGGAAATGCGGTTCCTGTGATGAGGAGTAGAGAGTGTGAGGCTTTTATTGTGTTTAAAGTATGCTTCTCTTTTGTGAAATGGGAGGTGGGAGGAGACGGCTAGTGGCGAAAGTATATAGTTAATAAGTATCTACTTAAACAGGAAACTAATTTCTCAGCAAGCAAGAAAACCATAACAAATGAGTATAGTCCCCATTCCGTGTTTTCTTTACTAGCTACCTTCCACTTCAGCCTCAGTAGCGCCTTAAGTTTCACCAAACTGCATGGGGGGGGGGGGAAGTAAGATGGTCTCAGGGATTAGAGAAGACATAACCCTTTTAAAACAGTCAGATGTTATGTTCCAAAAGGGACGTAAGTGTTCTTTACTGACTAGCAAAACCTTTTTCTAATCCTCCCCAGGAAGAGAATACAAACATTTTATAGGTTAATAAATGTTCCGCTGTCTCTGGGGTTGATTCCACACCCTGTGCTTTCTCTTCTTGAATTCTCCTCTATGTTCGAGACGCTTCTAAACCTGACATTAGATGCAAGGAATTATATCATCTATAAAGCACCTAGCCGACTTTAAAAATCTTTCTGACCTCTGGTAAAATGAAGGAAAGTTTCTGGTTGTTTTAATTGGACACTGAACTACTCTCTGAAAACAGTCTTTCTTCTATTGGAGAGAATATATGACAAAATTATCAGGAAAAATGTAAATAGTTGAAGGATGTTGTGTTTGGAGGGATGAGGATAGATTAATACCCTGGTGAGTTCCCAGTTCCCACATGGTGGCTGTAACTCTAGTTCCAGGAGATCTGAATCTGGTCTCCACAGGCACCAGACACCCACAGGGTGCACATGGTGCACAGACATACATGCAGGCAAAGCACCCATGTATGCACTTGTAATCGATGTGTGTGTGTGTGTGTGTGCATGTGTGTTAAATATACACAAATATATATTTATATATATATATATATAAGTGGAACTATTAGTTAACCTTTCTTCTTTTCTAAACATGACCTCCTAAAGAGCCCTGGTGCTGGGAAACAAGCTCTGAGAAATGTTTGAGCCCTGAGTGGGAATAAAAATGCTAAGTGCTTGCAATCTGTTGAAGCAAAAGCATGAACGCAGAGCTGATGTGACCAGCCTGTCGTTGGCTGGCCCTGCCCTCCCACCTTTGAGTCACAGTTAGGAAGATGCCTGGCCAATGGACAGGTTGTCACAGGTATCACTTAGGGTTTGGGTCCAGCTGTTCCTCAGGGACATTGAATCTCAGTAGTGGAGAGAGGTGACAGGATATTTTTACCATTAAAGACAGAGTCTCATTTGGTGGCCCAGGTTAACCTTGAACTCACAGTAATCCTTCTGTCTCAATCTCCCAAGTGCTGAGGTAGTGAGCAAAGATGCTGGACAGTTCTTATATAGAAATAGAATCTATACAGAGCTCCGAGCCAATGTTCATTCAGCTAGCTAGTGTCTGTGGGGGATCCAGTGCTATGTACTCTGCCTCAGGCATTAGGGATCCTGCATTAAATCCCCTCCTTGTACACAGGCATTGCTGTGATCCAGGGCTGGGCCCTAGTGTGGAGAATGGTCTAAGGGTATGAGACTGTTCCTTCTCTGGGCCATTGTATAGACAAGAAAGCTTGTAAGGTGTAAGTAACTGTGCTTTTGTTTTGTTTTGTTTTTGTGGTTTTGTTTTGTTTTTCTTCTGAAAAAAAAAATAGATTGTAATAGGCCTGCTAATGCATCAGTTTCTTGTGACAGTTTGTAGAAAACTCTGGAAAATTAATAAGAAGAATGTTTTGCCTCTAAAACAATTCTATTTGAGGTTTAAAAATTAGATATGTTCTATTTTATACTAGGAAAAAAAAATGTCTGAACAGTCCTGGGGGATGTTGCTTGGGTCTCTGAGAGTCACTTATGCAACCTTGACAAAGACTGGTTCTCCTTGATCGAAGAGACTCACCTGCAGTTGATGTCTCAAGTGTGAAAGTGGAAACAGAACCCAGTGGGTTCTAGTCAGAGTAGAATGGGGCTTGTGAACCCAAAACATAAACCTAGAAGTAGGCATTTAAGCCTGAGAAGGCCAGCTAGAGTGTGGTGTAGTGGTTATATGGGGATGGAGGGTGGAGGGAAAGAATGGGAGAGATGAGAAGAAAGGTTTCTAGGAAAGACTCAGTTTGGTAATGAACAAGATACTGAAAACTGAGACCTAGATCAGAAACTCAGGCCAGGTGCAGTACCTTGATTGGGCAGAGTTAACACTGCTACGGCCAGAGATTGCAGAAGGAGCCCTAAAGAAAAGACTTGAACCCACATGATGTCATGCAGAAGCAGGTGGCAGGTTCCTTTCTTTGCCTGCAGAGAAAGAGCAGCTGATGTGTAGGGAGAAGACTTTGTGTTTGAAGGACAAGAGAAACACCAAGGGCCTGAAAAATATTATAAATAGTATAAAGTTCTGCCCTCAAGCCCCAGCTCAGAAAGTTTGAGTCCACAGGACGGGGTGTGAGGAAGTGGGCCAGCAGAAGTTTTTCTTTGATAGCCTTCCCATCTGCCGAGCTACAGAACCCACATGTGGAAATAAGCTGTTCTCAACCTTCCTAATGCTGTGACCCTTTAATACAGCTCCTCAGGTGGGGGTGACCCCCAACCATAATGTTATTTTGTTGCTACTTCAGAACTGAAATGTTGCTACTGTTGTGAATCATAATGTAAGTATCTGTGTTTTCAGATAGTCTTAGGCAACCCCTTTCAGGATTGGAACCCATAGGTTGAGAACCGCTGGACTAGAACATCTTTTCTAGTCACTGCATCTTTATGTTGAACCTAAAATATGTCTAATGAAGGGGCTGGAGAGATGACTCAGCAACTAAGAGCACTGACTGTTCTTCCAGAGGTCCTGAGTTCAATTCCCAGCAACCACATGATAGCTCATAACCATCTGTAATGGGGTCCAATGCCCTCTTCTGGTGTGTCTGAAGATAGTGACAGTGTACTCACATACATGCAATAAGTAAGTCTTTAAAAAAAAAAGTCTACTTGAAAAACAGTGAACTGGAAAAGTAGAATTATTGGTACAAAAATAATCTATCTCTTGGCTTTAGTTTCTAAGTGCTGCTTACAGACTTGCCTCCTGAGTGGCAGCGGGACATTTCTGAGCTCAGTCTGTCTGGGTGAGAAGGCTGTAAGCTAAACAGTTGAAGGTCCCATCATGATCTGTAACAGGACCAGGAAGTACTCTTGCTCTCTCTTGTGCTACAGTGTATTAACCAAGCCTAATGAAAGCTCTTGCAGCTTTACCTGAGACTTACCTCCTATATGGGTAGTTAATTGTGTGCTATTTAAAACCCTCTAAGAGAAAAAGCTTTGAACAAAGTGTACCCAGAACATATTTTTAAATTTTTTAGGTACTAAAGTTTTGGCAAATGGATTTTTTGTATTTGTTTGTTTCTGAGACAAGGTTTGGTTGTATAGTCCAGGCTGGCCTTGAACATGATTAGAATCTTAAAACCCATGACCTCCCTACCCCAGCCTTGGATTACCAAATCGTAAGCATGTGCCACAATGCCAGGCTCTCCAGTATATTTCTGCTACTTGGAGATAGATTCTTATCGAGTTCCATGTGAATCTTATTTGGAGCACTGTTTTTCTATTAATAAATATTTCACAAAGCTTGCCAACTCCTATTTAAATCCAAGGTAATCATTTTTTCCACCTATAATTCTATCATTTATTGAATTAGCATAGTATACTGAACTTCCAAAGTGACAATGTAACCAGCTTATTCATTTTTTTCTAGATTACAGACAAAGGTTAAGTACTTTGCCTTTTTATAGGAATAAAATGGGGAGAAAAACCCTTTCATTTTCAGGAACTCTGCGTAGGCTGGCATACATTCGGGCAGCTTGTTTAAACCAGTTTTGACTGAAAAGAAAGAATTCAGAGTATCAGTTTTCAATAAACTACAACAAACCCGAAAAAAATTAAAGTGCCCAATAAGAGTGTGTGTGTGTGTGTGTTTACTAAAGTAGAGAAACTTTTCATAGTTTAAGTTGGTAAGATAATTTAATTTGCTTTTATGGTGTAGCTTTAGGAGTGATATTTTGAGAGCTTTATCTTCAGTACACCACAGTGAGTTGGGGAGGGGACATGTAAAATCAGTGAAAGTTTCTATTTCTGGTCAGTTCTGATACTTAAAAGGCCTGATAATTCTTGTTTTCCAGTAACAAATCTTTATGAAGTGAAAAGGGTCTGTCATGAAGCCTTTTGTTCTGTGAGGTTCCTCTGAAAATGAAGACCAAGTTATATTGTAAATGCTGTTTGTTGGTATTTGCTATCAGTCTCTTTCTCTTCGATGTAATTTCTGTGAGCATATGGCTCTATCAGTGTTAACAGCTTTTCATGAACATTCCATTTTGAAATAACTCTTTCTGAATTAATCTCACTCCTCATATCCCTAAATCAGCAGCTGCTGTATAACAAACTTTTTCCTGGGGAGATGTAACACACATGTACTCACTCCAGGTAGGAAACCCATGACAGACCAAAGTATGGATACTACTGAAGTCCAACTTGGTGAACTAAGA